AGGGCTGCTCGGTGCGTGGCCTCGGTGCCTTGGTGGAGATGTCCAAGCCCTGCAGCATCACCAGGAGCAGCCAGCAGAGCTCCAGGGCTGCCCTCACCTTACCTGCATCTGCTCAGGCACCCACAGGCCTCTCTCGGGGGGCTTTAGTCTGTTTGCTTTAGTAATTTTTCACACGGGTCAGCTCTCGAGGGTTCAGGGACTTGGCAGGCTTGGAAAGCTGCTGGGCCAAGGGGAAGGTGAACCAGCTGGGATGGGTGAGCTCACAGCTCCTCGCCTCTGTGGAAAGAACAGACATCCTCAGGCATGACTTAGGCAGCCAGCACCCATATGCCACTGAGCATGCCCACACTGCTGGGACACCTGGGGACATGCCCAAAGCAGGAGAGTTCTCATGGATGTGTCCCCTTCCCCTTTAGAGCCATCAAAGACCTATGCCACCTATGGTGGCATCACTGGTGGTCACCTCTGGGGCCAGCCATCCTTGGACACAACTCCCTTCCTCCTCCCCTCCCAGCACCCTGTCAAACAGCAGTCACACTGGGAGCCCAGGCTCACAGGGCTGCCACACACCTCGTCTGGGACTTGTTGTCCTTCTCCTCTGTCTTGAGGTGGCACTGGCAGGTGGAGGCCTTGCTGTAGCTGACGGAGCGCTTGATGGACTTCCTCCACTTCCGTGTGCTCTGCACAACCCGCTTGAAGATGAGGTAGAAGATCTCACAGACGGTGAGGATGATGCAGATGGAGGAGGCTCCGACCATGAAATAGGTGAAGACTCTTTTCTCAGTGGGCCGAGCGATGTAGCAGTCCACAGTGTTGGGGCAGGGCTCCACGTTGGAGCACTTGACCAGCCGTGGCAAGTCAAAGCTGTCCCACATCTTGTGGAGGAGGTAGAGGAACAAGATCTCTATGATAAGCTTGAAGAAGAGGCTGAGCAGGTACGTCCACCACAGCCCACCGTGCTTCTTGCCCGTGTTGCTGTAGAGCTTGGGGCAATTCTCCCCGTTTTTCTCCCGGTTCTTCTTCTCGCGGTCCTCCCGGTAGCTCACGTGCATGATGACCAGGAGGGAAGGGCAAGTGACGAAGATGAGCTGCAGGGCCCAGAGGCGGATGTGGGAGATGGGGAAGAAGTGGTCGTAGCAGACGTTGGTGCAGCCCGGCTGGCGCGTGTTGCAGTCAAAGTCCTTCTGCTCATCCCCCCAGACCCGCTCGGCCGCCACCACGTAGACCAGCACTCGGAAGACAAAGACCACGGAGAGCCAGATGCGGCCGAAGGCCGTGGAGTACTTGTTGACCCCGCTGAGCAGGGCCTGCAGAGTCTTCCAGTCCATGGTGGCCGGCAGAGACCAGAGTCACCCAACCTGGAGAAACAGAAGCTGCAGGTGAAGAGGTGTGAAGGGAAACGGCAACGGGCACCTCATCTCTGGCTGCACTTAGTGGCACTTAGTGACACTGTTGACGTCCTGTCCATCACCACGTTACACTCATTTGGGCTGGAGAACCATTCTCTTCTCTCCCCAGGGTTTTGTGGGGCTGAGCCACTCTCCCTTACCTGCCCTCCATGAGCATGTCTGGGGGATGGACGGAGACCTTCACCATCAGGGAGATCCCAGAGGATCTCAGGCTTGGTCCCAGTTTTCTCTGATCATAGGTTTCTTGGGTAAAATGGGCTGAACTGTCCGCTGGGCTTCGCTGCTGCTGAGAGCAGCAGGGGCTGCTGCAGAGCTGGGTACCTGGAAATGCCCGGGACCACTGTTCTCTCTGGCAGGTGACACCCGAGGCAGCCCGAGCAGGGGCAGGAGCGGGGCTGACGAAAACCAAGTGTCGCCCCACGCCGGCCAAACCGGCTCCGCAGCTCAGCCCGGGGCTGCCCCGCTGCGGGGAGGGCGGCGGAGCTTCGCGGTGATTTACACAATCGGGTGGTTTTTACCCAGAGCTGAGCTGGCAGTGTTGGCTCTGTGCTTTAAAGGTGTCTCCTGTGACAGAGGACATCACAGGACAGCGGGCTGGATCCGTCCCTGCACCGTTGGCTTTTAAGGAGTTGCTTTGCGTGACACACACACCATTGGCTGGTGGGAGCACAGGGGGGGTCGCTGTGGGGACCAGAACAAAGCACCCGCAACCCCAGGGAGGGCTGAGCCCTTGGAGAACAGAGCCAGGAAACAACAAAGCTCAGAGGAGACTTTTTGCAGGCTCCTCGTGTTGGAAAGAATTTGTCTGGTTTTTGTGAGGAGCTGCCAAGTTTTACAGGTCTGTGCCTGACAGAGAGGACACAAGTTCAGGCCAGAGCAAAAGCCTCGTTCAACCCCAACCCCTAATTCCTTCAGCCCCAGCCACTCAGCTCAATCAGCTCTGTGCACTTGCTGTCCCAATCCCGAGGAGCCACTGCCCATTGCCCACCCAGTGTCCCCC